TGACGATATTTCTTGGAGTATCTGCACGATGAGTGTCGGCGTGAATATTTTCATTTATCACGTTCGCAAATTCACAAATTTCAACGTATCAACCATCAACCGATTTTGCTCCGATCCCATTTCACGAAGAACTGAAAACAATTACGAACTTGGAGTCAACAAAGTCAGATTGATTGTAAAAATTCGGACTCGAGGAAAAACGCGAGGGGAGGGTGCATACGGGTAATTCGTGGCAATTTTTCCCAAGCGAGAAGTGGCCGTGTTATATTAACGGCCGTGCGAGACACGAGGCTGCAAATGTCGCATTGTGGACCGGCCAATAAAGTCGCTCGTTCGCCCACGCGAGTTCCGCTGGACGCGGTCTCTCGCGACGAAAGAGGGAGAGAAACGATCGGACAAACGATCGAAAGCAGGACAGCGAGAGCTTAGAAGGGACTATTGGAAACGCGGCTCGCCGTAAATGCCTCGCGTTCGCGTCCAGTTTCTTTCTGTTTCGTCCGGTTCCTCTTCTCTCGCCTTCCCCTCCCCCTCGTCCGTTCGTTCTTTCTTCTTCTCTTTCAGCCACGAAAGACGCAAGGTCGTCACTCGTGGGTGGCGGCGATAATAATTATTGCCCGGGGGTTCGAACGATCGATCGACGATCTCGGATTCGCCACGGCCAGATCGCGGCGATCTCTTTTATTTCTCGCGTTGGAACGCGGCTTTTATCACCCGGCTCGGCCGAAACGGTCGACGGTTTTCAAATGGAAGAAGGAAACGCGACGGGAGGCGTGTGTATATACATGTATACAGAATTTTGCATTTAATACCCGCTGTACCTTATGCTGATCAAGGGAACCTCGTTCACCCTCAGCCCTCCCTCTCGCAAGCGCGAGAGAGATTTTTACGACGGCGTAGTTTCCATGAGTGGGACGTGCGTTTCGATGTTGTTGAATGGCCGGCAAACCGCGAAACGTCCGCGTCCCGCTCGAATCGTAATATTTTTTATCGATTGGGGCGCGGTAAAAGGGTTGTAAACGACGGCTGAGAACGCGCGTCCTCTCGTATCGCGGAATTTCTGGAGTCACGGCCGTTGCGCGAATTAATTCCCGCTCCTTGACGTTGACGACACACTCGCCGCGTCACCACGCTGATTTTTACGCGATTGCGATTTTTCGGGGGATTTTATGGCACAGGTTTCAGGCACGAGCTAATCTCGAAGCTTCCCTACTCTTCTGAGCACAGCGTGCGCAGATTGGCCAAAGGAGTTTCGAATCGAACTAATTCATAAGTGAAGGTGACGGATGACGTTATTTCTGTGTTTAAATAAATTTCACTTCGCAGTCTCGTTCGTGCACGAGTGAAACGCTATTCTTGGATCTCACAATTCGATCAATCCGACTATCCGAGTATTTTGCTAAACAATTTACATTCGACTATCAACGTAATTTAATACAATCGGTGGGATAACCAAGTTCGGTAGAGAAATGATCGGCGTCGAATTTCGTTTTCTTCAACCTGCAACATATTTCCACTATCACGTTCATCGTCGGTAGGAGCTTGGGACGTGTTAATTTATTCACTTTGCGATATTCGCCTAACATTTGCAACGCGCGTGGCAAACGCACCTTATTCAATCCCCTTAACTACATAAACTTCAAAAACGCGATAAACAACCGTGTGCACGTCATTCCGTGCTCGTACGCGTCCTCCACTATAATCTCTCATCCACTTAGCCGTAAAAGAGAAACGACATCCGCGGCTCGACGCGCACTTCTCCCAGTTTCTTAATTTATAAAATCGTCGAGTTTATCTCGTACTCGAGACGTTCCCGTACGCGGTTCGCTCTCCCCGCGGGAATACCGGTAAATTTTCGAACAATCTCGCGGACGCGCGTTAGCGTATCTTAACGATAAGGAGCCTTCTTTCTGGAAACGTATCTCCGTTTATCCCGCAGCAACGGCAGAGAAAAGAAGAGAAGAGACACGTCAAATCGTCTTGTTGGATACCGTTCGGGGGCGGAGGCAGTTGCCGAGGCGAGCGTAACTTACCAGGTAATTTGTCGAACGTGCAGGCGAAAAGGAAAAGGAAAAGACAAGAATCGTGACGGCTAATCGATTCCTGACGGCACGTCGATCGAATGTCCCGCGAATCGTGCCCGCGCCTCCGAGCGATCCTCGATCCGGCAATAACCATCGATCGATCGCGCGATTTCGCCTGGCTCGAATCGTTTGCTAACTTCACCGAGACCGATGACGATTTTTTATCGCGTTAACGAAGTCCCACTCTTCGGACGAGTGGATTGAACGAGGATCGAGCGCGACAAGACGAAGATGGTAACAGCCGCGATTGAACGGCCGTTGCTTGTCTCTCCGATTGACTTTTATTTCGACGCGTACGTATGGAAAGTCGTGGGTGACGTTGACAATAATTGTGGGCACGTACATGCGTCCTAAACGCATCGCCACGTTTATATCTCATCTGTCGAAGACGAGATTCGTACGTAGTCCGAGAGGAACGAAAAGGAACGTTGGTCTCGTGTGGGTGAAAATAACGATTCCAACAGATTTACGCGGAGGATCCGTCGCAAACCACTTCGACGTTGGTTTATTCGCGTGATTTCCCTTCGCAATGGTCCCGCCAGATCGCCGGTTTGATGATGAAGTTACTGAAGCTGAACGGGTCCGGTCGAAGTTTTATAGACATGTTTTGCGCTGGTACATCGGTTTTATTTCGACGGCGTGATGTCACTTTCAGATTTCTATGAAACTATGAGATTAGATTATTTTTGGCGACTGTGATTGAGAGAGAGAGAGAGAGAGCGAAAAATTGAAATGGACAAATTTAATCCTCAAACATCATCGTTGAGTTACCGGTGCCTATGATAATTTTCATTAGATTCTTCGCGTCAAGAATTTCCGATAATAAAGTTCATTTAAATTTTTGATCCTCAAGGTTCGATGTATCTTCGTGATAATATAAATCACAACATTACGCACTACGCACTCTCAATCTTCACAATCACTTGTGTCAGTGTCGTTCGTCGTCGAAGAAAAATTTATTCAAACGATACTGACTCGCCTCTCGAATCCATCCGATGATCCATCTCGGTTCGAATCACCTCGAGTAAGGTCTGCTCTGAGATTTATTCCGGCACGCGCGGAAATAAAAAGAAAGCGAAACGATGCAAATCAGAGAAGGGCCAGCTGAGAAAGAGAGAGAGAGAGAGAGAGAGAGAG